CAAAGGTCTGGTAATGCGGATCACCGATGGCCCCGCACCGTGCACCGCACTTGTCGTCCGTGCACCGCCACTGGCCGTTCTTGCAGGTGCAGGTGTTGCAGTTCTTCTTCACCGTCGACTCCGGCTTGAACTCCTTGCCGCGCAGCGTGCAGGGACACAGCTCGCGGGTGATGCACGCGTCCTTGTACTGCACCGTGCCCTCGGGACAGAAGCAGCCCTCGTTGCACGTGTCTCTGGTGGGCGACAGGGCCACGTCCGAGTCGCAGGTGGGCTCCACATTGGGGCCACAGGCTTGATAGACCCGCCCAAAGCCGCAGCTAATGGCTGAAATTGTACGGGGAGTTGTAAGGAACTCCTCGAAATCGCAGCTATCCTTCAGACTTACGACAAATCTCCAGATTGCGCCAGCCATGCTCCAGCTTGATGCCCTTGAAGCCGCACTCCTTGGCCAGCATGGCAATGGCGTCGCAATTGCAGCTCTCCGGGTGCTCCCGGTTGGCGCAGTTGCAGTAGTCGGCCATGCAGGTGCGTATCAGAGCCTCGTAGTTGAAGGGTTTGATGCAGTCGCCCAGCTTTTCGTTGGCCAGGAGACGCTCGCAGACAGACACTGCCTTCTGCAGCTTGCTCTGCTCGCAGGACTCCATGCCAAAGTCCAGCTCGGCGCCGTTCTCCACGAGGCACATCTCACTGTGGTCCTGGACGCGCCAGGCATCGGCGAACGCTTTGACAGTCTCCAGTTTCTTGCCAGTGCGAGAGACAAAGTCGGTGTTGGGATCGCCGTCGAGGGAGCCGCACAGGCCACCCACTTTGCCCCACATCTGAGGTCCGGCCTGCACGGAGACATACTGATGGTGGTCCCAGTCGAGCTTGAGGCCCACCGACTCCAGATCGATCTGCACATGCTGTGCCACGGGCATCACCTTCATGCCCATCACTTGGACAGACATGGGCAGCTTCTTGATGGGCGTGGACAGCTGAATGGTTCCATCTGAGGGAGTTTTCTATGTGAGGAATATTTCACACGTCAATTACAGAATCCTTACTCAAATTCTCAAAGGTGTAGAGCACCGACTGCCAGAGGACCTTCAAGGTGTGAGCGCAACCATAGCCGGAACCATAGGGACAGGCCTTCAGAATTATGTCAAAGGTTCCCGACACTTTGTCCGTGATCAGCGTGTGCGAGCAAGAAAGAGGTGCTCTGCGGGAGAGCAGTTATCCGACTGAATCATAGCTTATCTAAAATGAACTCACTTGAACACCAATCCATCAAATGTTTTCATGTTAATGCCTCCCCAAGTGGTGCACAGAGCGGGTCTCGGGGTCTTGTCTATAACCACATCCAACTCGTTGCTCTGGTACAAGGAATACCTTCCAGGGGTCACGACAGTCTCCTCCGATGACCACCATTCCTGTGCATATATCAGAATATTAACGAGTGTCAACGCAGTGCCCCCCCTGGAGCACAATTAACATACGCTTCGTCGCTCCATATCCCTGTACTTGGCCAGGAGGGCCAGTAGCTTCTCCCGCTCGGTGCGTATCTCATACGCCATCTCGCCGCTAAAGCCTCCATGATACACGCGTCCTGCCTGCTGCGTCACCTTCTGTGTGGATGTGCTGGAGCGGATGGTATAGCCAGGAGCTGCGGCATTATGTATTGGATTGTGGATTATTTACTTGAAACATTCGTTTAAATTTGCTTTACAACCTAACCTTCACCTCTAGTAACAACAAAACAAGATTTTCTCGGGTAAAATTCAATTTAGGGACACTCACGAAATATACACCTTGGAAGCGGTGCGGGAAGATACTGTCCCCGCTGATAGTTACACTTGTACTCAATGTCCAAGCGTCCTTGGACTTTTAGTCCGGGCACCTGGGGACAGTTGAAGGTGCACCGAGCCTCCTCCATCTCATAGGCGCACTTGTAGTTGCCATTGAAGTTGGTGTTGGTCACATTGCAGGTGGCGATGTCTGCGCGGAAGCGAAGCATTCAGAGATTGTAAGAGCTGGTGGGAATGGTAGTTCTTTGACCACTTACTGTACTGACAGTGGGCACCGCGGAACATCTTGGAGCACTGGCAAACATTGAAGCTGATGCACTGGCCGCCATTCTCGCAGGCAGGTGCACAAGTGGCTAAATGGAGCAGAATGAGAGAGAGAACCATTCGGAATATGGGGTCTACTTACGGCCACAGTCGGGGGGCTTGGACAATCCGGTCTTGGTGTGTACCCACTGGCCATCGCGGCATTCAATGTTGGTTATTCCACTGCCGTCGGGGAACTGGAATCCTCGCATACATTCCGCATGGCAAACACTGAAAAGAAGATGAGCATGTCGAACACACCGCTTCTCTTTCAAAACTCACTTGTTTTTGCAAGAGACCTTCGAGTTCTTCGGAGCCTTGGGAAACGAGGCGCACACGGACTTCTTCTGCTGACACGCGACTCCGAAATAGTTCTCGGGACACTGACAGACGCCCGCTGAAATGCAGATGCCATTGTTCTGACAGGCTGGCTGGCACAGGGCCTGGCAGGGTGGCACTGCGGAGAAAATGGAGTTGCCTATGATCCAGCCATCGTTGCTGCAGAACATCTCCAGCAGGTGGATGTCCTGGCCGAAGCTGTATCCAGCCGGACAAGAGACCTTGCAGCGACCATTGTGGCACTCGGACTGCACGTTCGGCGGCAGCTCAAGGACTGAACACTTCCCGTAGGCAGCCAGAGACTGTCCGCCGTGTCCGTAAAAGTTCCCTTGATTGCTGTGCATGAAATTCTTAGATGAAAACTTATCAGGATTATCGATTATGCCTGTACCTACCCCTTGCCAAAGACCCCGAATAATTTGTTCACCAATGCACCTCTGAAGCAAGAGTGCATATTAGAGGATAATAAATGGACCAAATGATGCTTCCGCTTACCCATAACCTCCGGCATTGGCCGATGTCTTGATGCCAGCACCGTATCCTGCTCCTACACCTCCTCCACCAGAGCCAGCGTAACTGTACCGGGTGCTATAATTTGATATATAATTAGATCTGAACTTGGGCACGTATCCTCCTTATCTTGCTTCCTTCCGACTTATCATTACCTCACAGCGGGTGCATTCCGCAGCGAGAAGCTTATGTGGCGCTCGTCGCGGCCGACTTCGTTATCGACGGCATCCGGTACGGCCTGGACGAGGGGGCTAAATATGCGAATATTCCAGATAAACAATTTAAACTAAGCGAAATTTAAGTGCGACACACAAAAATATTTTTGGCATTGGCATAAAATAAAGCAAGGCAAATTTACGTTCTTCAAAAGGTTTTAAGGGTCAAGCACTCAAGGACATTGTCCAACAAGGACAACATTGTCTCCAAAGGATTCAGAGTTACAAAGTTGTCCATAATTTTTCACTTTGGTTCAAAATTTTTGTTGGATATTGTGGATCCTCCACCAAACGGATAATTCACTCACTTTATATCCTCGTCATCCTCATCGTTCATCACAAGATCTCCTTCCTCGGCCCACACATGGCTGATCAGGAGCAGCCACAAGGATACATAAATCACTTTCCCTGTCATTCTGGCAGGACTTTTGAGTTCGCAGATTCTGAACTGCAAGCGACACTGGTAATCCTTTATCCTGTTTAGTATCAACACTGGTAATCCATTATATCCAGGACACTGAGACTATGTCCTCCAAGTCCTTGGCACTGTGACTTCTCACTTGAACACTTATTCACTCAACACTTGTACACTTTTGTAGATATCCACGAGACTTTAAGACACTTCCAGGCAACTGCGCGATCGCGACTGATGATGCCAGTGGCTGTGGAACGCCTTTTATAGGCCCCTAGGCCCACGCCAATCTCCATTTTGTTGCTGGAGGGTGGGCTTATCAAAGAGCTTGGGATTTCTGGGGTCAAGCCCACCACTTTATCCGGAATGAGCAAAAAATTCACTTTTCTTGAGCTTATCGGCTGGGGGTACTGCTTTAAATAGCTTCGCGAATGTATCCAAACTATGCCAAGTTGAAGTAGAGGCAGAGGCTGAGGCTGAGGCCAATGCCTGGCTGATAATGCCACTTCCCGTTTTGCCTATGTCATAACTACATATCCAGTCCACAGACTCGAGTCGGTTTTGCCAAGTCGAGGGAGCCACAATCTCTGGTTACGTCGCCATTCCATTTATCAATAATGCAAAACATATGAATGGAAAATACGTACCACAATTACGCAAAAACTGCCATTGAACTTGAATACTGCCACGAGAAGAGATTAACCCACAACCCAGGCTTTGCCGGCATTTCATTGTATCTCATTTCATTTATATCTGAACAGCTCTCTATTTGGAAGTTATTTTTATTGGATGTCAGATGCCCCTTAGCTTATAACAAATTAAGGAGCTTCACAAGAAATATGAGCCCACCTCGATGCCAAATAACAGCTAACATCAAATTTCTTCAGAACATTTTCTTGGTTATGGTTGCCATTATGGATGGGATGTCAGAGTAAGTTGGACTGGAGCTGCGTAGTATTAAGTTCAAATACAATTGGGGTCCCAGTATCAGGCTAGCTATGTCAAGCACCACAGCCAGTAACTTTTCATTCAAGCTCTAGTAATACTGTGACTGCGAAAGATCTAGAAAAATGCTACAGCATTTACTGCGTCATTATGGCCAATCAGCGTGTATATTGTGTATTTGTATCGCGTTTCTGTAAAATTATACATTTAATTGAGCAACGCCTTTTGATACATATTCGATTCGAATTTGATTTTACAATTTTCAAATTAAATATTTATCGTTTGTTTCTATCGAAAAACTGTCATCACAACAACAACAAATGAGACCGACCAATCACAGCAAAGAACGATTTGGATCTACGCGGCGCTAGGTGGCGTGGAACAATTATTTTATTCGCCACAAAAATACGGCAGGCGACGCGCCACCCTTGCAAGCGACGCTAGGTGGCGTGCTTAAATGTGAATAATTAGAATTAGATGATCGTTTATTTGTTAGTGCTGTCAGTTGATTTCAGACAAGGATTATCACAGCCCATTGGATTATGGTGGATTATGTATTCTATTGCTGTATAGATTAAGTGGCAACAATTTGTAGGTAAATTTGCCGAGGTGCAAATGCTACTCCACGTATGGTTGAACATCGTGCTGCTGGCGCACAGCCTCAGTCTCGGCTCCCACGGCGCAGGCCAGCAGGGAGTTGACTGTCTGCTCCTCTCCTGCCTTGTAAACATAGCCGTTGGCCTTGTCGATGTGATTGCGTAGTCGCAGCATGCTGTCCGTGCTGAAGGAGTCCAGCAGCTGGAAGGATACCAGGGCATAGTCCTCCACCATGGAGCAGATGGCCTCGTTGAGCTTCTGGTACTTCCGCATGGTGGGGTCGTCGTCCAATTTCTCCAGCAGATACTTCAGATCCAGCACGTCCGTGTAGTAGTCCACGTTGAAGTGCAGCTTCGACTCGTGCTTCCGTAGCAGATCTGCCTTGGAAAGGACATTCACATGCGGCAGGCTCATCCTCATCATGGTGTTGAGCGCCATCAGAAGCGTGGCAATGAACTTGGCCGGCTCCGAACAGTAGTGCGAGTCGATGAGATTCACTGTGACCAGACTGTACCGCTCCCGCTCCAGGCGCTCGAACACCAGCGCCATGGCATTGTGGTGCGTGTACAGCTCGATTTGTCCGGGGCAGTCGAACAGGAAGTAGTTGTGGGTGGCGCTCAACTTGCGCAGAGCTGGCAGCAGCCAATCCTCCATGTGCTGCTCCAGGTACTCGGCGCAGTGCATCAGGGCTCCGTTGGGCCCCAGCTGCAGGTGCTCCATGCAATCCTCTACGGTTATCAGCTCCATAACATTGATGACCGGCTCGTAGGACATGTTGTCATTTGCGGGATCCAAATTGACGACGCCCACCTGCCTGCCCAGCTCTCGGTAGAACTTGTAGGCCTCGTTGCAGTAGGTTGTCTTGCCAGAGCCCGGCGGGCCTATTATCAGCTGCCCATAGCGAGGATTCTCCACTTTCGCCTGCGTTTGGAAACGTTGCAACATTTTTGTTGTCAAAACATGTAAATACTAGTCATTGACGAGAACGCTTAACCCATTGTCGGCCACGTGTGTATTTCATTTGACGCATTGTAAAACATTCTGGTGAAATATGTTTTATGTTTTGTTTTAAAACAATGATCTACAAGAAGAATTTGAAAAGAGAATTATTTGCTGCGGATCGACTCAAGAGGTTTAAAGACTGTTCTTTCATCGGTATATTTGCGGTATTTCTTGAAGATGAGACGGTATGTTTCTGAGGGGCAGACTGTATATCTTATCAAAAATCCGCGGTCACACTTGCTGCTCAGTGTTTTCATTTTTCGAAAAAAAATCTTCAATTTAACAAAGTCTCCCAATTAAACTTAAGCACAAAGTTATACTACCCGCAATGGCTCAACCTCAACCACCAGCCTACGAAAACAGTGAGTGTGCCTGTCAAGAGTATCAGCGCATTAGGTGCTTCACAATTTCACCAACTGACTGTGACGACAGGGGCATGAGTCAACCTGCAAAAACGGTAAAAGCAGAAAGCAATCGCCGGAAGCGCCATGATTATGCCCATAAATGGGCAGGAGCTGTTCTCGTCGGCGAGCGCTGATTAATGGGAGGAGGGAGACATCGGCGTCCAGCTCCCACTCCCATGTCATGCAAAAAAGCAAACAACTCCGCCGCCGACGCCGGCCGGCATGAGGAGAGGCCGCACCCTGTTTTTCCTACATCTGTTAAATATTTTGTGTCTGTGCTTTTGTGTTCGCTTTTATGAACCTTTGGTAAAGTTTATGGTTCGTTTAATTGCAGAAAATATCTATGCAACGCTGCCGCGCACCCAACGCGGCCAGCCCATTGTCTTGGGGGCCGATCCCAAGGGCAAGAACTTCCTCTACGCCAATGGCAACTCGGTGATCATCAGGAATATCGAGGTAAGTTGATATTTTACGCAGCATATTCGGACGTACTCCTGCCTGCCTGCCATCATAATCTATGGCATTTTCCATGCCGAATGTTTTATTTTTGGACAGCTGCAGTTTCTGGTCTTATTCCTCTCCTGCATCTGTGTGTTGTGTCTGTGTCTGTCCGCTGCTGGCAGCTGTTCTATATTTATTTTTATACAATATACGCCGTGTAGCCATCCCAGCCTATTCCACAGGCCGGCAAAAATCATACACACTCTCGCTACACAGTCCACGCGGACGGAGAGACGGCCAGAGAAATGTTCTTGCTTGTGCCGCCCACGCATCATCTTAATGATGATGATGTTTGTTTGGGTCGCTTATTAATTGAGAACTCAGTTTTGTTGCCCCAGCAAAATGATTGTAAAAGTGATTTTTCAACAATTTTCCCCTGCTTCTTTGTGCCCTGTAGAACCCAGCCATCGCCGATGTCTACACGGAACACTCGTGTGCAGTCAACGTGGCCAAGTACTCGCCCAGCGGCTTCTACATTGCATCTGGCGGTAAGTGTACCATTGCAACTTCACACTTGGCTTGGACGCTGGCTGCTGGCTCCGCGGCACGCAGTGAAGCGTGCAGAAGCCGTACCGAGACCAGCCAGATGAGTCACGTCACACCATAAGCGTTCGTTTCTCTGTGTGCCGTACCCCATCATTACCATAACCATGTTTAGTGCCCATCGGCTGGGTTTCTTTATCTTATCTTTTGCTATTTTTCTTTCGTTGCGGTTCGGATTGTTTTCGTTTGGTATACACTCAAAATTCCCCTCTTATTACCCACTCCAGACGCGTCGGGAAAGATACGCATTTGGGACACGGTCAACAAGGAGCATTTGCTGAAGAATGAGTTCCAGCCGATAGCAGGACCCATCAAGGACATCAGCTGGTCGCCAGACAACCAACGCATTGTGGCCGTCGGTGAGGGACGTGAACGTTTCGGCCATGTCTTTATGTCGGAGACGGGCACATCGGTGGGTGAGATCAGTGGCCAGTCCAAGTCCATCAATTCGGCAGACTTTAGGCCGGCGAGGCCGTTCCGCATCGTAACTGGTTGGTAGAAACAACATCAGATAGAAATTGCAACTAGTAATTTAAAAATCTCTTCGAAACACAGGCAGCGAAGACAACACGGTGGCCGTGTTCGAGGGACCTCCGTTCAAGTTCAAGATGACAAAGCAGGACCACTCTCGGTTTGTCCAGGCGGTTCGCTACTCGCCCGATGGCAAATTCTTTGCCTCGGCCGGCTTCGACGGCAAAGTCTTTATCTACGACGGCACCAGCTCCGAGCTGGTAGGCGAATTTGGATCGCCCGCTCACAAGGGCGGAGTATACGCCTTGGCCTGGAAGCCGGACGGCACGCAACTGCTCACCTGCTCCGGTGACAAGACGTGTCGCCTCTGGCAGGTGGAGTCCCGCGAACTGATCAGCGAGTTTGTGATGGGCGCGACTGTGGATGATCAGCAGGTGAGCTGCCTGTGGCAGGGGGACAACCTGATAACTGTGTCGTTGTCGGGCGTAATCACCTACCTCAACGCGGAGGATCCCAGCAAGCCTCTTCGAGTGGTCAAGGGCCACAACAAACCCATCACTGTGCTGGGCCTGAGCGACGACCGCAGCACCATCTACACGGGCAGCCACGACGGTGTCGTGACCAACTGGAACTCTGGCAGTGGTGTCAACGACCGCATCACGGGTACCGGACACGGCAACCAGATCAACGGCATCGCTGCTTGGGGAGACTTTGTCTACACCTGCGGCATCGACGACAGCCTGCGCCAGTTCAGTGTGGAGGGCAACTCATACACGGACTACGTGGTGAAACTCAACTGCCAGCCGCGCGGACTGGCCATCTTGCGAAACGAGAACATCGTTGCCCTGGCTTGCGTCAAGGAGCTGACTCTGGTGCAGGACCAGAAGAAGATCTTCTCGCTGCCCATCAAGTACGAGGCCAGCTCCATTGCCGTCAACTCTGAAACCTCCGATGTGGCTGTCGGCGGCGATGATCAGAAGCTGCGCATCTACAGCCTGAAGGACGGTGCCCTCGAGCTGAAGGCTGAGTTGGACCACCTGGGCGCAGTCACGGATGTATCCTACTCCCCAGATCTGAAGTATTTGGTGGCCTGCGATGCCCATCGCAAGGTGGTGCTCTACTCGGTCGAGGAATACAAGGTGAGGATTGGTAGTCAGAGGCGTCTGATGCTGAATTTACTGATGGTTTTGATCGTTTCGCCTTTAGCCTGCTCACAACAAGGAATGGGGCTTCCACAGTGCTCGTGTCAATACGGTGGCCTGGTCGCCCAACTCGCTGCTGGTGGCCAGTGGCTCCTTGGACACCACCATCATCATTTGGTCTGTGACCAACCCAGCCAAGCACACCATCATCAAGAGTGAGTCCCGGCAACAAATTTACCAAGGCGGCATTCCTATAATTTTGTATTGTTCCTCTTTAGATGCCCATCCGCAGTCGCAGATCACTCGCTTGGTCTGGCTGGACAACAACACTGTGATCTCAACTGGCCAAGACTGCAACGTCAAAGTGTGGCACGTGGAAACTATTTAGATCACCCTCTGAGCGCTAAGCGGGAGAGCCAAGCCAAGCCAAGCATATTTTTATACTTATCCATGGGGCAGTGCCACTAGTGCCCCCTTGGCTTCATTTCATTTCAGTGCAACAGTTTACGTTTAGCTATTTATGTCCCTGCAACTACCCACCCTCATTTGTCGTGTCGTCTTTAAATTTAAGCCCAAAGTGTTTGCTAATCATCATATCATTGATTCAGATCTGTTTTGCCTCAACCGTTCAGCGTCTTTCGATTTTGTTTTCTCTTTTGAACAACTTCCTTTTGTACTACAATTAAAAGAAACACAAGGATTAATTATGTAAAGTACGCCAGCGTACATAAATTATTGTATTATGAAATGAAGTATACTAGTTTTTGCATAACCCGTTGTACTCTCTGGGGACCCATCCTGGTTTGGAATCGGATCAGCTTCTATATGGTCTATAGCCTATAAACACACACACGTCTTCATCTTTTGGCTTCTTATAAATTTATTCTTTCATTTTATTCTGATTTGGTTTAGTAGGTCCTTTGCCTTGTCTTTTTGTGTGCAAGTGTTTGTGCGTGTGCGTGTGCGTGTGCGTGTGTGTGTGTGTGTGTGTGTGTGTGTTTCTTGGTGTATAATTACAATATTTATAAAAAACTTCACTTAATTTACTAGAATGTGTAGGTGCGAGAGTGTGTTCATGTACGTGAGCGTAAGGGAGGGAGAGAGAGCAAAAGTGAAAGGTAACGTAAAGTTCTATAATTTGAGAGCCCCGCTGGTGGCTCGCTGTAAGCTCAACAAAATAAAGATTTGGCCTAAAAGAATAAATAATAATAAATAAATTAAAGAGTGTATGTATGTGTGTGCGGGCGTGCGTGTGTGTTTGTGTGTGTGTATAGAAGACGAAAAAACGAATTGCGCTAAGTATCACAGCCGGGTCTAAGACGTTGGTTTTTGTTGCTTTTTTGTTTGTTGGTGGGGGATAAAGAGTTCCATATGTATATGCATGTGTGTGTGTGGGTGTTTCCAGTGTCAGTGTGTTTGTGTCTGTGCATTTGTGCATCTCAGCATTTTCAGCCGTTCAACATTCGAAATTAGAAAACATTTTCACCACCAAGAGCTAAGTGCCCGCCACCGCACTCGTATCGCCACATCCCGGCTCTCCATTGCTCGCCACGGCCGTCTCCCGTTCGCTTTTGATGTCTGGCGGCGCCTCTTGAGCCAAATCCGAGGAGGGTCCAGCATTTGAAGAGGATTCAGCCACGGCAGCTGCAGCTGCCGCCATCTGAAACTGATTGGGTAGAAAGAGGTACGGACTGGACACAGTTTCTCTCGGGCTTTGTCCCTGTCCTGCACTTCCCAAAATATCGCCGCTGGTCATCGTGTGGCTGGGCGTGGGAGTGGTCGTGCCAGTTGACAGCTTAGCAACACGCTTGCGTCGCGCCTCGTTTTCGCAGGGCGAGGGCGCTCCAGGATGGCGGTAGCTGACGTGCTTCCGCAGAGCGTCCTTGCTGCGGGACACATGTGAGCAGACATTGCAGGCGTACCTGTGGATTAATGAAGACTAAATCGTAAATCATTCCTTGAATGATGTTCAAGATCCTTTCTAAAGGATCAGACATATGTATAGCAAAAAGTCCAAACTGGAATAGAGAGGGGAAGGTAGCATGGATATTTTCCTTCTACATTTCTCTCAAGATCATTCTTTGTCAGAGCAACAGCAGTCTTCTGCATTTTAACATGTTGTTAACATAATGTTAGGGCGTTACCGCTTGCTGTTACCGCTCGCTGCAACTGGTCGCTCGCCGTTATGATTCCCTCTCTCTGTACAGCTCGTGAAAATCGTTGAAGTGGAATAAACACAAGTACATACTGCTCGTCGTTGCACTCCTCCCATATCTACAATATACAATCCAACCTCCCACTAACTTCCTTTCGAATTTCTTGCACTCATTTCCCCATCATTTACTTACCGCACATTCTGATGGGTCTCGAGGTGCACACGCAGATTGTATTGGTTGCTAAGCTGCTTGTGGCAGATGAAGCAGGTGGCGTAGAGCTTGGAGTTGGACGGCGGCTTGATGGGGGCGGAGGTCAGCTGCTTCTCGCGATCGGCGCTCAGGGAGAGTAGATTCGGCTCCGACTTGGCGCTGACCAGAGCCATGCCACCGGCTGTAGCTGCTGCGGCTGCGGCAGCGGCCGCCTCCCGCTGATACTGCTCGATGTGAAGCTGCAGCTTGGCGTGGTCCTCCGCCGAGATGTAGGGCGAGGAGGCGACTGCCTGGCTGTGGTGCATTTGGGCCGCCTGCTGGGCGGCGGTGGGCGTGACAGCGCAACTGTAGAGCGGAGGCTTGGTGTTGTACATCTGGTTGGGAGTTAGGGGATTCGAGTAGCTGGCGGAGGAGCACTTGACCACCGGCAACTGGGGCGAAAAGTGCGCCATGGCCGGGGGCGCCAGGGTGATGGGTGAGGTGGCCACAATGGGATTGGGCACCGAGCACTCTGTGGGGCTCTTGTTGCTGTTGCTGGCGGAGTTCCTGAGGCTCTTCCCCATCTTGTCCTGCCGCTTGACTTCCTTCGGCGGACTGTCACCCTTCAGCCGCTTGGCGCCGAAGCAGTCGTCCTCCTCCTGCAAACCGCTCTGGTACAGCTGGCACTGCTGCTGGTACTTGGCCAGCAGCTCCGTTGTCTTGTTCAGTGCCGTCTGCGAAAAGTTCAGTGGCTGCGGCAGCAGGCTCGGATAGAACTGCAGCGACTTGAAGAGGTTCTCCAACGGTGAGGTGGTGGCGATCATGGGACCTGCCACTGGACCCACCGATCCCAGTTTGTTGGCCAGCAGCGGAGTGCTCAGAGCGGGACTGGCATGCTGCGGCAGCGGCAGACTCGGAGTGGAGGTGGATGTGGGTGTGGGCGTGTGTGTGGGGGTTGGAGCCGGCGAGGGTGTGCCATGAAGCTCGAACTCCGAGGACTTTTCGTGCGGAGGCTCCATATAAGAGTGGGCTCCGCCCTTTGCCGTCTTGGGAAGCTGCCGGAGGGTAAAGTCAAGGTAAGTAGAAGGATTCGGAATTAGATTAGGAAGCGCAGCACTCACATTGTTGTTCTGGACATCCGCCAGTCCCTTGATGCCGAGTGTCTCTGCAAGATTGAGGAGCATCGGTATCTGCTCCTCGTACACGTTCACCTCTCCGGAGTACATGAACGTGAGCAGCGACACAATGGCCCCGAAGCTGGCTCCGGGTATGATGATCACCGGGTGATTGCTCGCCTCCAGGGCCCGGAATATCTCCATGAAGAAGCTACTGCAGGCACTCAGCACCACCCGGTGGGCACGCAGCTGCCGTCCCTCCGCCGAGATGGTCACATCCGTCAGCTGCGACTGGTCCAGCAGCACGGGCAGAGTGCTCAGCAAACTGGTCTGGAAAGAAGAGATCATAGGAGAGAATCTGTGTGTGAGAGATGGAGAGCATCTGGGTCACAAGATCATAAAAATAAACTTGCCCAGGCCAGGCCAGGACAGGGCAGGGCAGGACAGGACAGGACGGGGCAGGGCAGACAGAGACTCTTTCCCAGGGATAGTGGATCTGCATTCGATGCAGTTCTGCTCTTCTGTCCAACTTTTAGATTTACGCTCGCTGCAAATTCTTTGGATTTTGGCAATTGTAGCGAAGCTTTTCATTTATTTGACATTTTCTCCGCACCGGCCCTCATCTCATCTCACCCCACTCCTCCCTCTGCCCCAGCTGCTATTTTGGACAGCCTTTGGGGCTGCCTGCTGTACGAGTACGAGTGGCTGTAGTAAACATCGACAACACAAAATTGTCACTATATGAAAATGCGGAAAACTATGTGTGAATCTGTATGTGGATCGTGGTGTGGTGTGGTATGGTGTGTGTTTTGGATGGATGGTTCCGCTATATATAGACGGGGTGACATTTCGTTCGCCCGACCAGACCATACCGAACGATGTCCAGTCCAGTTTTTATGAGCGACGCTAAGCCCCCAGATAATACTGCAGAGAGAGAGAGAGAGAGAGAGAGAGAGGGAGGGAGAGGCATTTCGATGGCATTGCTCATAGATAGAGTCATTTATTTTTTTGCAGTTTCCCTCTACCTTGAGGCTCTGACTAAATGGAATCTATTTGAATAGCCTGGAAACCTCTAGCCTAATCCTTTAGGACATCTGTCATACCTGATGATTGTGCCACCTGAGGCAGAACTGCTGTTGGTTATCATTGTGTTGTTGATGCTGCTCGAACTGATGCTGCTGCAGTTGAAGATGCTGCTGATGTTGCTGTTGCTGTTGCTGTTGGTGCTGCAGTCTTGCATTTGTGGTATTTACATGTTCCATAATTCATCTGGTGTGGATCACATATGTGTAGGTGCGCTGCAGGAGGGGTGGAAGGGGAGGGAAAATTCATTCATTAGACTCTAATGTATAGCAATTACTCTTTCATTCATAATGTATTCCTGATGAGGGGCAATCTGCCCCACTGCTCCTCGTTGCCCACTCAATTTTCACTCAGTTTTTGTTTTCTCGCCTCTCATAATTTGTTTGTTTGTTTGCCTTTTGGCTTGTTTATTTATTGAACATTTTGTCACACACTTTTCGTGTCGTTTTATTTCGTTGCTTTTTAATAGACCCGAACACCACGCGGCGTATACGTACTATGTATGTCGTAGCAGTTGGCTTATTACTCATACGCCGCGGCATGCCAAGGGGATTCGAGTGATTGTGTACCTTGATATCAGGCCATATCTATCTATGGATGGATAGATAATTCGAGATAATCCTTTTCCATTTCATTTGCCAACGACCGGAGCAGGAGCAGAAGCCGAACCATGTTGCTGTGGGAAGGTTGGCTAAAAGGTTGCCTGGGCATTTATCTCTTAGATGGATATGAATATAAATATTCCCTGCAATTTATATCTGTCAGCGCATAGTTGGGCATCAAGAAAACAATCACCCAGGCATCACGGATGCCATCGGAGGATAGAGAGAGAGAGAGAGAGAGAGTGTGTCGCTTCGCGTCGCACAGTTGACGAATCTAAATTACAACAATAAAAACCCACACGCACACACACACCACTCACCACACACACACACACACACACACACACACACTGTACATCAGAGATTATTTCGTGTTTTGCTTGCTGGCAATTAAATTAAATTTATTTAAATAAAATAAGTTCTCTTGGCTATCCTGGCCTGGCCTGGCCTAGCCTGGGACAGCTCTGGTTGTGGTGGTTGGCTGGTTGCTTGGTTGTTGCTTTTGTGGGTTTCTGGGTGCACTATAAATTTGCCAATTTCCATTGTTCGGATTGTTCTGGGTATGCTAGCTGGGATGGGGATGGGGAAAGGGGGCTGCAGTGGCCACTACACAATCAGATCTCATCAGACTTTTGTCCGAGGGCTATTTATAAGAAGATCTCTTTGCCTCGGTCTATGCTGGCTGCACTGCAATCCATTGGAGGCCCCCCACCTCCGTGCCGAAAAACAACCCAAAGTGACAAGTCCGTGTCCGAGTCTGTGTCCGTATTGGTGTCCACATCTCTGCCAGCCCAGCATGCAATTGTGGCTGGCTGGCTGATGTTGGTGTTTGTTTCTGCTGCTCTGGCTGTTGCTGTTGCTGTAGACGGACGGAATTTTCTTCATTCCATTATGTGTGCACATGAGACTGAATCGCATCTAAGCACTGCTCTACGAGTATTGAGAGACGATGGATGCTGTGGAGGTTGCCTGACGCCTGATGCCTGATGCCTGGTGGGGCACAATGGCTGGGCTGCTGGTTCGCTGGTTCGCTGGTTGCTGGTTCGCTGGGTGGGGCCCGCTGTCAAAAGGGGGTGTTGGTGGTGGTGCGACAGTGCGGCCTTTTTGGCGCTCGTTCACACAAGAAAGTGTCGTGGCAGAAGGCAGAAGGCAGAAGGCAGCCTTCTTTTTCCGTAACTCTTTGGTATTTCGCTCAGTTTTTACTTGATTTTCCGAAATTAGTTTTTCCTAGCCTTTTCGGCGCAGTTCTGATTCTGGTGATTCTGCTGATTCTGCTGATTCTGCTGATTCTGCTACTGCTGTTGTAGTTTTTAAATAGCCATCCAAAAAATAAAGATCTGTGCTAAACGCTCTCGCCAGGCTGTCTATTTTGATTTGTTGTCCAAGTGCCTTGGCTGCCTTTTGTCTCCGCCATCGTCAGCGATTTGTTCATTCCACCTCACCTCATCGCACGGACTCGCTTCGATCACTTCAGATCTCTCCAACGCTGTCTCAGCTTTTAGTTCTGTTGATGCGTAATATTTTACACATAATCACTCATCCGCCTCCAACCAGCAACCAAAATGAACAACATTCAAGCGAAAGAGGACACATTCCAAAGCTCATTTTGCTCATTTTGCTCATTTTGTTGTTCTTTAACTTTCATTTGTTCCATGAACATACATTTTGTCCACTTTTTACTGTTGGATATTCAAATTTCATTATAGAACTCGCACATACATATACACGTGACATGTGTGTGAGTGTGTGTGTTAGTGTTAGCGTGATTCACGCGTAATCCAGCAGCAGCCCAGCACTGCCTCTGGGGGATGGCTAATAATAGAGCGCTCTGCCCTGGCCTAGGTCCAAGGAACCCTTCTCCGATATTTGCGCAGATCCTCTTCACAGGTTGAGTTTTATGTGCTACTCGTGGCAGCTATCAAATGAAGTGTTACTCATCGTTTTATTTTATTTAGTGTGTGTCTCTTTTTATTGCCCGTCGGTCGTTTGGTTTCTTAATATTCCGAAATACTCTTTGAAAATACTTTCGACACTCTTTTCCAAAGGTTCTTCTTTGCCAGTTCTTGTTCTGGTTGCACAATTGATTTGTATCAATTATTTTGTTCGTTCTATTTCACCGAAGGAGTCCTTCACATTTTTGTCGCCCTGTGGCGACGACACTTTTCGCGCCCGCTACGAATTGTTCCCTTTTTCCGATTCCGATTCGGCTACAAGTCTGTCACCCGCTGCGCTGTGCACCTTTGTTAACCGTTTGCTGCTCGCATCTGAAATGAAAAGATCCGAAAATGTTTCAATTCTTTCGGTTTTAGTTGGAGATTTTCTATTTTTCGAATGTCCATCTCTTCACCATTTTTTTTCCTCTGGCTTTGGCTTTGGCTCTTCTCTGGCTTTTGCCTTTGCAATGCCTGCTTGTTATTGTTGCTGTTTCTATTGCTGTTGCCGTTCCTCTTCTGCGGCTGTGTGCTATGCCATTTGTTTAGTCCATTTGAATTTGAATCCGAGTGGCTCTCCTCTCTGGTTCGCTGTCGTTTTTCGCAGTTTGTCGCCCGATTCCATGTTCTTTAATTAATGAGGAGACAGCGCCAGAGAAAAGAGAAATCTCCGCAGTTTTGTACTCGCGATCGCGCCTCTTGGCCAAATTAATTGGCTGCCCCCAGCAGTTAGTTAATCAAAACTTTTGCTGGTTGGAAATCATCATCGTGCGAGTGCCCCATCCACAACCACATCCGAGGCAGGAGCTGTGGCCAGTTCTCCTCTAGACACAATTGACATGCCCCGAACCAGCAGCAGCAGCAACAACATGACGCCTCAGCCTCGTGTGCATTATTAATTTGCAATAAAATGTGGAAGCGGCGACAGCAGACGACACCGCCTCTAGTCCCCTCTCCATCTCCCGTGTTGCGATCGGTGCGGGTACGAAAATACATTTCGTACCTGCGAAGTGGATTTGAATTATGCCTGACAAATACAAATGGAATCGCCATATGGAGACGTGGAAGGTGTGCAGAGTGAGCAGCCAACCCAGCACCCAGCCAGCACCTTCATTATGCACTTTTTCAATTCATTAAAATGCCACAAATACTTATTTATTATTGTCATCTGTGCGCTGCTCTATTTAGCAGCGGGTTAGCAGCGCCTCCTCCTCTTCTTGGAGGCTGCAAATACCACAAAATAAACTATCCCTAGCCCTACCCTTAGCGTCCATAAATCTATAAGCTGTAGCACTGAGCCTCCGACAGGGGCTGGCACTGCTGCTTGCGAGAGTCCCATCCGTACTTGTAGGGACATCGCACAATTGTCAGATAGCCGCTGAGGCAGCGGTAGTAGTACTCGCACCGCTGCGGATGGGGGTGGAAGCTGTCGCTGGAGGCGTCACAGTGTGGGCGTCCCACAGGTACAGAAGAGGCAGGTGCCTCAGTCGAAGGAACAGTCTCGGGTGCACCAGTAGTTGAGGGGTGCTCCTGCTCTGGAGCACTCTCTGCTGGCTGCAGAGTCTCCGCCATGCCAGAGGGAGCTTCCCTGAGACAGAATCCTGCATCGTCGAAGGCACACTCCTGGGCCTTGTCGTCGAAGTAGGTGTGTTCCGGACAGCTGTCCCTGAAGGAGTCCTCCCCATTGCAGTAGATGTACGAGGCGCAGTCTTCGACGGCCATCACAAAGGTTTCGGGCTCCACGTTCACGCACTGCGGAAACTCCTCTCCCCGACTCACAGTCAGAGCTCCAGCCAGGAGCAGAAGGCAGAGCACAGCTGGCACTTTGGTAAACATATTGAACTTGCTTGGAACTTGTGATGGAGTGCTGCCAAATGTCTAGGCCTTTTATGACACATGTTCAAGGTCGTTGGATGTCTCTCCTATCACTGCTCTTGTAAGTACTTCTTATCTGGCAAAAAATTTTGCCAATCGATGTCTCTTTATCGCACATAAATCTGTGTCAAGGCCGTCCAATGACTTTTTTTGCAAAGGAAATGGACAAAAAGATAAGTGGATTCAAAACATACTTTCAAATCGGTCAGTTCACCACAACAAATTCAAATCGTGAAGTTCACCACACCCCAGCCACATGACAGGGCTCATGTGCATGAACACCAGGTGGCGCCACGGCATGCAATTTCAAAATTCGATTTTTTAATTGATAATCTTTATCGTTTATTTATTAATGTACTGCATATTGCACACTAATCCCATATTTGATAAGTGATTGGTTAATTAATTACTTAAAATCCTACTAATACTGCTGCTGCGGCTGCTGCTTGATGTGTAAGTATCTACGGCACCTGCTACGAGTATTTCTAATTTCTTTTGTCGTTGCTTTGGTTTGTTGCTTTGGTTGCTTGTTTCGTGTTTCGTGTTTCGTGGCTATATATTTATATTTATATGTATATGTGTGTGGTACTTTGATCTCTTCGATCTCTTTCTCTTGAGCATATCACAGAACAAAAATGACAGTAGAAGAAGACATCTTTGGGTCGAAAGATCGTGTGTTTGGGTCGGTTTGGGGGTTGGGGGCACGGGACTTAGAAAGTGTCAAAGTGTAAAAATATTAGTCGGAGCTTAAAAGTACATATCCATAAATAAGTATATGTGTATATCTGATATAGTATATGTGTATATGCATCTGTATATGTTTATATAAAGGGGACTTTTTAGAAAAATACTGAGCAAAAGTACTTGGCATTGGGTGTGGTATGTGTGGGTGTTTCAGGGTTCCAGGACTACAGGACTACAGGGCTCTGGGTTCCTTTCTCTGACATCGAAAGCCTTCCCTAGATACCCGAGGCCTACACTAGAATCTTGTCGTAGGACGGCGGCGGCGACTCATCCATCGGCATCTGCTTACCCATCGCGGCCGTCTGCTCCGGCAGGAGGATCGCTATATGGTAGGGCGGCGGACCGGCAGTCGCCGCACTCCCAGTGGTCACCTGGCGCTCCTCCAGATACCGCACATCGCTCATCTCCAGCAGGCAGCTAGCTGCTGCCGATGCACTTGCTCCGGGCATAGCAGCGTTAACCCCGCGACTATGGCACACAGTGGCTCTGGCCCCGCCACGGTTCGACAGCAGTCCCTTGGGTATGCGGCAGAGGCTGACCATGCAGGCGGCCAGGAAGAAGGTGGCCGAGAAGGCGCAGAAGATGAGCACCTCCAGACCAGTGCCCTGGTGATCGAAGTAGAACTTGGTGCCGGCCACGAAGACGGACGCCAACACCAGGGAGGCGCACATGCCGCACTTCAGGTGGCTGGGCAGCAGCTGGGAGTCTGCGTGCTGCAGGAGCGCGTGATGCTGCTGCTGCAACTGGTTGGTGTGTGTCGTCTGGGCGGAAGTTGCGGCAGCAGTGGCCACTGGTGCTGCTGCCATGACGGATGTTGCGCTAGCTGCTGGCTGCCTCATGCTGCTGCTGGAATTGTGGCGACGTGGCGTTGCATAGGCGCTCGCTTGTCGATGACTGTGGGCGTGACTGCTGCTGTGCTGATGATGATGATGCTGCTGCTGCTGCTGCTGTTGCAGCTGCTGCTGCTGATGGGGATTGTGGTGATAGGCGCTGTATGCATCATCGCTGGGTAGGAGGAGGATCGGTTATAATCAGGAAAAGATTAGTCTGGGACTGTCTGGGGGTACTCACGCATAGACGCCGGAATGTTGCAACTGTTGCAATTGTGATTGCTGCTGCTGCTGCTGTGTATCGTGGTGTCTGACAGGCACCATGTTCCCAAACTGTGGATGGTGATAGCTGTACTGGTGCTGCGTTGGCTGCTGTGTCCTGGGATGGTAGCGCGAGCTACGCGCCACCAGTGGCACAATGGTTCCACTTCCTGTGAGCACCGCCGCCGCAGACGCCGTGCCACTCGCGTTGTTGTTCGAGCTTCAGATGGTGAACAGAAAGAAAGAGAATATTTAAAAAATTTAACCATTTAGTTATATTTAATATATATTTAATATATGCCGTCAGACACGATCTTGATTGCTGCCGAATAATCGTCTTGAGTAAATGTTTTTCTAACATAAAATCTCCTTTTAGATTTTAAAGCATACCGATATAATAATATCGCAGTCCGATTTGAGGATTTGGTTATGCACCTTAAGAACAATTTACAATTGCATTAAAACTCAGTCTTTGCTGCAAGGCAACTTCCTAGAGGCTTCCTAGAGACAAAAATTAAGTTTTATGCCTCGGTGACTAGATCACTTCCTCATACTTCGAATTTGCAGTATACTTACCCCCAAAACATTTTTTTTTTAACTCAAAAACATTGATTGAACACTTTTATAAATTAAAAAACAGATTCTGCTTCGCGGATTTCCACAAATAAATTGAGTTTGAAAGACAACTTTACCATCTTTCACAGTATTTTGGATTCGTGGTGATAGAATAGATATACTTGAAGATAATACTAATCATACTTTCGTATGAGGCAAGGTGCATTTTCTGAAAATTATAATTGCATATGGAAGCGCTCAAGAAACCACCACAGACTGTTGCCTGCTGCGTCCCATCGAAAGTCTATACTGCTAAAATGTTACTCAGGGAAAGGTTAGCTCAGATATACTCTATGCTTGGTACATTACATGTTGTTGCTGGCAGTTGGAGTTCCAGTGCCAGCAGCCAAGTGGCTGCTGTTCACATTGTTGTTGTTGGTGGAATGTTGCTGCATCATCTGCTGCTGTTGCTGCTGGCCATGCAGTGAATTGTTGTTCACATACTGGGAGTGGGAATGGGACTGTGAATGTGATTGTGTCTGGGACTGGGACTGGGACTGGCGACTGGTGCCCGGCTGATGGCAGTCATAGGGCGTCTGTGGCAGGGATCTATGCACGGGTGGCATGGTGCTGCAGCTCGAGGACTTGGCTCGCCTGGGCGGATGGCCGTAACTGAGCCCGCTCCCGGCATGGGAGAGCGAGGCAGCCACACGAGAGCGTCCGAAGCCGCACTGCTGCGAGCGTTTGTCTATCCAGAAGTGCATGTCCACGAGCAGGAAGAGCAAATGGAGCAGTTTAATTAAGTGTAGCTGCTCGGGCGGAAGGATTCAACTGCAAAGAAAGAAACTGAAATTAACAAAAAAATAATTTAGGTTTGTCTCATGTTTTTCTCAGTGTTAGCAGAGCAGCAGAGACTCTCAGAGACCTCGTCAGGGGGAGTGTTTAATCTTTTATTTCTTTTATCGTTTATGGGATTAAGAGGAATAAATGTTGGAACGACAGGGACAGACCGACAGTTGGCATTGAGTGCTGCAAACTTATTTGAAGTTCACGCTGCGGTGCGGAGGAAGCGAAACCCTTTCCAGCACACAAAGCGCATCTGAGTCCATTTGGCTTTGTGTCTGCCAGACGGAAGAGGGTCCTCCGCAAGCTACACTTCCCCCACGACAAATGCTAAAACAGGAAACGTGCTCATCGTATTTTATGGTGCCTGCACTCTGCACACTCCCTTGTCTGCCGAACACTCTCTCTCTCACGTCTGACATTTCCTCTTTGTGCCTGGAGCTTGAATCCCCGCTAAGCTTCCCCTTTTTAAAGGTGCAACAAGGAACAAAGGCTGCTTGGGCTGCCTGGTCAAGGAACTCGCCCCAAAATATACGGCTAAAACATTCATTGGCCGCTTTCACTTCCCGTGTCATTGGCAGCAGCAGCAGCAGCAGCCAAACCACTACCACCAACAACAGCCACAGACACAAAAGCCTCAGCGCGCCAAAACACACAGACTCTGTGTGTGGGGACTCGAATCGGGATGGAATTTGGGGAGCATGCAAACCCCCTAAAGGAGCGATGCACGGTGGAGAGGAGAGGTTCAGCGAAGCGAAAGAAAGAAAAACGAACCTCAGGTTGACAAACTATTCGAAGATGGATTATGAGGATTGCTTCGATTGTTCCTTGGTTGCCGTTCCCCTTTCGCTTTTGGACCAACTTTCAGTTTAGTTCAGTTTGGTTCCCAGGTTCAGTTAGCATCCCACTCCGGGGTCGCTTAGCTGTTCGTTGAACCGAGCCGTCGGGGGGTTGTCCTCTGTGTGTGCGTGTGTGTGGTTCCTGTGGCAGTGCCGCTGTGGTATTAGTCAATCAACGATGACAACAGCAGAAATCATCGTACTTAAACGGCGACACAAAAATAATGAATTTTTAAAATAATTCCACAGACACAGAGCCCAACAAACGAGGCACAAGTACATATGTACACATCCACAGATATGCACGAGCACATGTTCCGTAGGCACTGTGGTCCGAGAACACCATAAAAGTCCCCGCACCATAAAGCAAATTTTACTGTGGGAACTTTCCTGTTCATTTTGGTGGAAAGGTTCAAAGTTCAATGCCTGTCAACGTCTTGAAGGAGGAGAATGGGAGGTCCTGGGAGAGTTTTCGAGAGAAATTATACAATAAAATGCTGCAGCAGAGACGGGAGTGAGTGGAGAGCAGAGCAGAGTGCAAATAAATAAATACCCAAGCACGAGTCAGAGGGCAATAAAATAAACATATTTAAAAGAGACATTTTGACAACCTTTTGATAGGTTCATTTCGGTTCTTGTTTCTTGCCTGGCGCCACTGACATTTCTATCTGTTTCTGTATTTTGGGTGGGTGCATGTCCTTCTCCGGGTCCCGGGTTCAATGATTTTTGTTCGCTTGATTTGTACTCTCCTTAGAGCTATATAAATACCCCTCCCTGCCTTACGTTGGCGCATGATTACAACTTAGTTTTGTTGTCTAGCGGGGCGAAAGTTCAGCTCGATTTGGTTAAGAATCGTGCGGAACTCGAAGCAACTCAACTCGGACATTGACATTGTGTACATAAGAGGGGGCCACTCAATGGCAGCCAACCCAAGTGTGACTGTACATAGATAGATGGACTTTCATAGAATGGGTGCCCGACAAAGAACCATTGTTTGGCATGAAACAGAACTACCATACAAATTGTTGCTGTTTATACCTAAACCCACTGTAGTCGTATCAATCACTATCTCAGCAGCTTGACCACACCTCGCTACGCATTAATATATATTTTATCACCGCTGCCTTCTCCCTGCCCCTTCCCCACGCACACTCAACAATGACCAAACTGAACAATCATTGAGTGAACATTCACACAACATAAAACTTTAAATAGACTTTGATTTTATTCACTGAACCAGTTTCCTTTTCCTGGCCCATCGCCAGCAGGGCGGCCCCGAGGCGGCGTCCTCAAGTTGACCTTTTGGGGGCAATAGTTTCAACTGTTTCCGTGGTGTAGCGGTTATCACATCTGCCTAACACGCAGAAGGCCCCCGGTTCGATCCCGGGCGGAAACAGATGAAAATAACTTTTTTGAGCGCAATTCAAAAATCAATTTTAATTTATTTTTAAAATTCTAATAATTTGAGCAAAGTCCACTTATAGAAACATAGTTATGTTCTTGACATTTCAACTCTTTTATGCCAAAACTATTTGAGTTCATTGGCGTATTATTGATTGAGCCTGTGTATGAGGATCAACTGTTCTGTTTTTCATTGAGAAAATGTGGCTTAATGTCCATGAAACTGATTGAATTTTTTAAAAGTTTTCCTTCACCACAGATTTAGCTTATAGTTCCCTTTAAATTTAAATATTTAATTATTTTGGGCGGTCCGAAAAGTTACCTCGAAACCTGAAAGTGAAACAACAATTTGAAAAGAAATTAAATGCTGAAAAATGTAGATTAAACTTTCAAATAGTGGTTCAAAAAGTTAACCGCTACACCGCGGAACGACTCGTCGTTCGGTCATAGAGGACTCTTGTGGCTCGAGAGGCGTCTGCTGTTGGGCAAGATGCCAGAAAACCATTTCAAAGCATTGCGGAAATTGAAATTAAGCGAGCAGCCGCCACGCAGTGATAAAGATAATCGTGAATGGGTATAATACGAGAATGTGTATTTATATTAAAATTGTTGCAAATATTTATTGTGTGGAATTTCTAGACAGTGAAAAGTTCTTGGATGAGTAAGAGCAACGCCAAGCACATTCCAAATCGAATGTCTGACGCTTAAATCCTTTTCCCATGATACCTAAAGCTGCTCCACAAAAAGACGGCCAACACAAAACAGAAGTTGTAAACTTTAAATCGTGTGCACATCCCATCCCTCCCTGCGGACAACGACAACCAACAACAGCAACCCCCTCGTTTACTCTCACTTGAACGGTTTGTTTTTTTCCATTAACCTTTGTGTTGTTCTGTGTTCTGTGTGCTGTGCTGTGCTGTGCTGTTCCTGCCTTTTACTTTTCGCTCTTTTTATGCGATTTCTCGTTGGCGGGAAGTGAATTTTGTCCCATTCGAGTGACTTTGCAAAGGCAAATTGCTCTAGGGGAGGTGGAACTGTGTGGGAAGTGGTTCGGGACGTGGTTGGAGTGGCTAAAGGTAGATGAATATGGACTGAGTGAGGACTGGCTGACGGGCTGTCCGTCTGTCTGTAGCTGTGTCTCCTCTATAAGAGCCACAAAAACGAACAAAATCTCTGCCCACTTGATGACACTCGCTGCGTATGAGCAATGATAGCAAATGCAATGGAATTGTCAAGGGGTGGGAGAATGGCATATGTATGGATAGGTATTGGTGTAGGTGAAGCTGTTTTTGTTTGTGCAACTGTATTGGGGATATGTGTGCCTGTGCCTGTATGCTAAGGGGGGTCCCTTTCAAGTGCATGTCAATCCGTCAGCCATTTGTTGGCTCGCTTTTTTACCTGCAATATTTTCTTGAAATATTTCTCGGATATACTTGAATATTTTCTTTGGAGCTTTTCAATGCCTTTTCCTATGGGCACGTTTCTGTCACGTTCGTTGTTGCTGTTGCTGCTATTTTTGTTGTTGTTGTTGTTGTTTTTGTTGCTAATATTGCACCCATATTGTTGGTGCTTTTGTTGTTGGCGCAGCACTGGAAAAAGTCCTTGAACGCTCAACTGACCCGACACGATACACACACGCACACCCTCGCAATGGATATCCTCTTGAAAATGCTCTTCACTCACACACACACACAGATAGACAGATAGACAGAAAGCCAGAAAGACAGACAGACTGACAGACAGATACAGAGACAGAGATGGGGACACTCACGCGACTTGCAACTTTTGTATTCAATTGCAAGCTCTTCTGCTGACACTCTCCACTCCACGAAATAAATGTACTTCTTAAGGCTCTTGTGGCCTGGCCTGGTCTGCTCTGCTCTGCTCTGCTCTGGTCGCGCCTCCCGTTGTTCGAATTAGAAGCGCGCGCTGCCGTAGGACTCGCAGCCGACTGTGCTGCCTCTGAGTGCAGCAGCCAGCCAAGAAGCATTTCGTTTTCACTTTTCACGAGCCACGAGAGAAGAGACTCTGCTGCTGAGAGACTTAATTTTTGTTCATTCATTTTGTTTTTGCAAAAGCACCACACAAATTTTGGGGCATGAATGGAGCAAGCAAGCTCTCTCTCTCACTCGCTCCCCCAGTGTACGGATCATGCGCGGATAGCATTTCAAATCAAACCGCCAATGGATGCCATTGTGAAGCTTTTGGAGCTTTGAAAGCTCCGCCAGGGTACATTAGACACAAGGTAAAGCAGCACATAATTGAAGGGGAAAAACTAGCATTTGTTTATTTTTAGGATCCAATAAACTTTGGCTCTCGGCACTCCTTAACCTTCGGGTCGAAGTACAGACCCGGAGTACAGTCCAGAGTCAGGCCATGGCCATCCACACAGTAGTAGTAGGAGTCCGAGCGCGACTTGTGAGGATAGAAGTGGACTCCCACCATCGGGCAATCGATGTCCGCGCGGCGCAGAGGCGATCGGTAGTAGGGCTGGATGTTCCGGGCCACTGCATTATTCTGAAAGTATAAATAAGCCACGTACCTCGTCAGATGAAGACTCACTCAATCAGTTCCGATTAGAACTTACGGTACAGTTGACGTTCTTGGCATAGTCACAGCACTTGCACTCGGGACTGTAGTAGAGACCGGCGGAGCACTCTTGCTCCCATGGCCGGCCATTGGAGCAGATGAAGTACTTGTCGCACTTGGCTTTGCTGGGCAGGTAAATTATGTTTTCGGGCTGTTCCTTGGCCGAGCACTCATTGGACACACAGTCCACATACTCGGGGAAGTCGCAGCGATCCGTCGCGTTGTTGTACTGGAGGCCGTCGTGGCATTCCCTCAGCACCGGGCGCCCATAGTAGCAGAGGACATACTTGAAGCAGGTGTTGTCGTAGCAGTAGCTGCTCAGCTCGTAGTCGGTGCAAGTAGGCTGGCACTGCACACTGCTCACATAGGTGCACACCTGAAACACAGGGTCGAAAGCAAATTCAACGTCGCGATCCTGGCAGTCCCCCATGTCCTTAATTTCCCCATCTGGAAGTGAGAAAACCAATCAATCGCAGCTGCCACACAGCAGGGGGTCTTTCCACTCACCCTCACACTCGATCCACTTGCTGCAGCTGCCGACATAGGGCAGGTGGACGCCGTTGGCAACGTTGGCGCATATCTTTATCTGGGTGTTTTTGTACATGTCATACTTCGACAACTCATCATCCTCAGTCTCGCGATCATCCTCGGGCGAGGGAGCCACCACCAGGCCTTCGTTATCGTCGCCCCGCACATTGTCGATCAGGAACATTAGCACCAGCGCGCCCAAGTACATTAGCCACTTCACTGCGGACAGAAAGGTGTGAGACAATGGGTGGCCAGACTCTGGCAACGAACATCTTACTCCTGGATGGCAAGAGATCCACAAGTCAACTGTTTCTAATCACCCACTAAATATGCAATTTATATCAATCCAAAATCGGACGATTTTTATTCGCCTTGTTTTGCGCTCGTGCAGAGAGTCGCCTAATGAGTTCTTGCCAGCTCCCTTATCGATCCACTCCACTCGGCACACGACTCCCGCAGGAGAACTACATTTTAATTTCCCCAAACATTTCAGCACTCAATTTGTCTTTGCCTAAACATTGTTAAACAAAGATACAGTTCCAAGAAACAGATATCTGCATAGTTCGTGATTGATCGATGGAGATCATGGCATACCCATGCCTATACCATTGCGTAACTAGTTCCATACCATCAGATAAGTATCTATACTAACTTCTTTACTCGTATCTCATGGTTATGTTTGTGTTACATAGCTGCACACTCGGCAGCAATTCACGCCATCTAATTGCTCTGAGAACCTCTTACAGAGTAATACCATGGAGGAACACCCATGACAGTGGCAGTGGATAACCAAATTTCATAATTATGCATATCCGTTACTCGTGTGCCGACTGAATACTTTTTATGTGAGTTCTCACTAAAAACATACTCGAGATTGTCTGTTGTTGTTGTCGCTATCTGTCAGAGTCGAATTTGAATGCGACAAGTTGCGAGCGATTCCAATTACAACTGGAAATCATGCATCCTCCTCATCTGATAAGTATTGGCAATTCGCAGTGAACGAAGACGAAAGACATGGCCAGCAGCTGATTGCCAAAAAGGGTTACCTATAAATGGAGGAGACCGTCTCTACAACCCCACAGTAGACAGAGCAAGACTAAACCAACAAGTAAGTACGGAATGCGAGGCACAAGGAAAGTATTATTAACGAGCTCTTCAAACGAACAGTGATGTACCGCCTGAACGCCTTGCTGGCCCTGGCCACCCTGATTGGAAGCTATGGAGCCATTGGAGCCGACATCAACATCTGCTCGGGTGTGGTTAGCAATTTGTTCTTGCCGCACATCAGCAACTGCAGCCAGTACTACCTGTGCATGAGTAAGTGACTCTCTCTCTGGTGACACCTGCTCTCCTTTCTATGACTCTATGACTTTGCAGGTGAAGTGGCGGTGCCGCGGGAGTGCCCGCAGGGCTACTACTTCGATGCCAAAGATCAGCAGTGCGTGGTTGTGGAGGAAGTCCGTTGCTTGCCCGTTTGTCCCGCCAAGGGTCTCTCATCCTTCTGCTACGATCGCACCTGCACCAAGTACGTGCTCTGCTTCGATGGCACACCCGTGCTGCGGCAATGCTCCGACGGACTGCAGTACAATGCCCAGACGGATCGCTGCGACTACCCGCAGTTTGTGGACTGCGTGGACAACCTGTGCGTCAGGCAGAACAATCCCGCTGACATTGTCTACATAGCCAGCAAGTCGTTGTGCGACAAATACTTTGTCTGCGTGGACGGTCTTCCACAGGTGCAGAACTGCACCCGCGGCCTGCAGTACAATCCCGCGACCACGAGCTGTGACTTCCCCTCGAAGGTCAACTGCACGGTGAGTGGACTTTCTCGTATCCATCTTGGCAGGATATCATATCTTGCGGTGCCCTCTTTCAGGTGGAGACTCTGCAGCGCAACATCCTGCCCTATGCGAAGGCTCCGCCCCGAAGCGCCGGCACTGTATGCCCTGCCGAGGGTACTCACTTCTATGCACACAAGAGCCGCCAGGATGCCTACTACTACTGCCTGAATGGACGTGGTGTCACCTTGGACTGCACACCCGGTCTCATCTACGATGCCAAGCGCGAGGAGTGCCGCGAGCCACAATTCATAGCAGCCTAAGGATTAAAGGATTGTCCCGCACAGAATAAAATAAATTGCACTTGTCTTTGAAAAATATCTCTGGCTTTTGATTACCCCCTTTTAGAATGGCTACTGAGAACTATGTTCCTAGAGATTACATTTTAACAATGATCGAACTAATAATCATCAAAATGATACCCAAAAGACGAAAGCTTGGGGAGCCAATTAATGTTTTCCAAAATAAATCCATTTTTGTCGAGAGTAAATTTCATTTTATTTTATTCATTGCATTCCCTCAGAGTTCTACATTGTTGGGTTCTCTACACTCCTGTACCTTGGCATCGTACCACAGACCAGGAGAGCAGTCCAGGGTCAGGCCATGGCCCTCCACACAAAAGTAGTAGGCATCCTTGCGCGACTCGTGGGGATAAAAGTGGACGCCCGCAGAGGGGCACTTCATGTCCGCGATCCGTGGGGACTGTCGGGAGAAAGGCTGGACCATTTTCTGCTGGTAGGATATCTACAAGGACATAGGAACTGTTTACCTTCGAGTTCATTGTGGAAAAGGCATCCAAAAATAACCCACCTGACAGTCAGAATCTGATGGCAAGACGCAGCAGTTGCATGTGGTGCTAAAGTACAATCCTTTGGCGCAGCTCTGCTCTCTGGGCACGCCATTGCCGCAGAGGAAATACTTATCGCAGGACACCTTGCTGGGCACGTAGTGCAGTTGGTAGGCATTGTAGTAGATGGAGCACTCGGACTCCACACAGTCGACATTTTGGGGGAAGTCGCAGCGATCCGTTTTGGAGTTGTACTGGAGACCGTCCTGGCACTCCCTCAGAACAGGATGACCAAAATAGCAGAGGACATACTTGGTGCAGGTCCGCTCATAGCTGAAGGTGCTCAGTGTATAGTTCGTGCAGGTGGGCAAGCAGTGCGCCTCGTTTTGCCTCACGCAGCTCTGGGTGGGAGCATTGAAGAGGAAAGGCCTTTCGCACTGCAGTTCAATTGCCTGTCCGTCTGAGGTATGGAACAAAAATAAGCATGTTAACATGGAATTCGATGAATCATTAGGATCCGCACATACACCGACAGAGATAGTACTTGTTGCAGTCACCCACATAGGGCAGGAACACACTGTCGGCCACGTTCTCGCAGAGACTGAGGTTGCCCATGATTAGACTCATATCACTGCCATCTTCCGCATCATCTGCGGCTGTGACGGATGCTCTGCCATCTTCCCTGTCCGGCAAAGCACCTGTATCCACATCAGCATCTTTTGCTTCAACCAGAAAATGGTTGCAGAGCAGCAGTCCGAATATCAGCAGCCCTGTTCCTATAGTACGTAATCAATGAATCATCATCAAATATGAATTTCAGTTTACAGTTTGTGCCCGACTTACTTCCAGTCATTGTCAGCTTTTACGCTCAACTGCGGGCGGAGTTCTTCCTTTATAAGGCTTTTTCTGTTAAGTACAATCAATTGATAAGACAATCGCGCCATCGATGTCTTCTCCATGGAGCTGACAAACTAATTAGCTGCAATAG